ATATAAAACAGGAGATAAAGTTCTCCTTTTTTAAATTTAATTGGTGCATTTTAAGTGTATTTATTTAGTGGTTCATACACAGTAATTCTGCTTTTATTTCTAATTATGTCAGTTTTGGTCCTCCATACTGCAGAAGCCTGATAATCATCTATTCATTCATATCAGGTGTGCTGGAGCAGAGAAACAAGTAAAACATGCAGGGCTGCGGCCCTCCCGGACCAGGATTGCCCATGCCKGCTTTAGGGCCTCAGTCAGATGAGCTAAAAACGTGATATTTCTATATTTCTTCAGAGCTGGATGAATGTATGTTAGCTCCTGTAACAGCCTTGATGATGTGGTTAGTGCTGACTCATTCATGGAGTTCTCATCAGCCTGTGCAGAGAGAAGATCCTCTGCTCCTAACACAATCAACCACATAATCCGGTAACAATGATGGAGACACTTCCCTTTGCAAGACACTAGTTTGTTATGATGGCGAAGGATATTTCCTGTGGCTAATCAGCGCTCTCATATCCTTCACACGCAGTCCACTCATCTTTGTGATCTTTGGAATGGAAACGTTGGAGCAGCTTTTCTTTCAGCTGTGTGTGCGTGTAACGATTTCACAGAAGTGGGATTTGTTTTTTTTCCTCGAGAAGACTGGCTTTGGGGCCTCTGTTTCTTTTTTTTWATTTTGTTTAAGTGGTGACCTTTTCTTATTTGGAAACAGAGGTGGAGAAGTGGAGCTGGGACAKGGTCAGCTTTCCCAAAAAACCTCAGCTCCATGTGCTCCCACACATATAAGGGCTGGGCGTTCCTGTGTGCGCTGCTACTACTTTTCCATTTAGCCTTTCCACTGTTTCCTATTGGTGGTGGCGCTGTGTGACTGTGTTTACCCAGAGGTTTTTTTTTTAATGTTTGATTTTTCAGCCCTATAGAGGCACATGTTTGCTTTATGCTTAGCTGAAAGATTACAGAGAGACCGAGTGGGCTGGAAACTGTGAAGTCAAGACCCTCCACGTGTTTGTGTGTGGATGAGCTGTAGTCACGCTATGATAATATTGTGTGGCGCCTGCACACTGCAGACAGTGTCCCCCCCCCTTCCTCCTCTGTGGAACAATCAGCACACTGTGATGTGCAGGGCCACAGCAGTCATAATGGCAATTATGTCTTCTCGCAGCCAGATTGGCAGCTTTTTTTTCTTTATGGTGAGAACCACAGTCAGACGGGGGAGGAGGGCGCGCTGTCCTGCTGCACAGCTGCAGGGTGGGGTGGGTCTGTGCGAGAAGTGGAAGAAAAGGAATCAAAAYACACAGCAGATGGATCTGTGCAAATTTGTTTTATTCATGTTGGAAAAAAAATCCATCTGCAGCTATGGGGTAATTGATTCACTCATTTTATTTATTCTATTATTTTTAATCAATCCTCTCTGATCTGTGACTACTTTAACCTTTTGTTTTACAGTTTTTAATATGCAAAMTTCAAAGCAATATTATTTTAAATATTTTTGTACTTATGTTGTGTTTTTCAAGATGTTGGCCCCAAAACATTTGAGTTTTAAYTTGGTGCTCAATGTTAAATGTTTTTTAAATAGAATTTAGAAAAAAAAAAGAATAAAGAAAATCCACAATCAAATAAAATGATCGTATTACTCAGATTCTGATTGATACTTTGAGATACTTTATTTTCCTGATTAATTTAGAGCTACTACCCTATAAACTGACACGTGACACTTTGTTATTGTGAATAATTTTTAATTAATTAGCCAATAAATGAATACCACTGAGGTGTAACAAGTCGGATAGACAACAATAAACATTGACTCCAATGGGTTTTTTTTTCACAACCTACGTCCGAGTAGCTGTACTCTACCTGTTGCGTGACGTCGGCCCGCCTCCTCATCCTCCACCCTTGTTTACCTGTTGTGTTGCCATGTCGACCTCACCACCGCGGCAGCCCATTGGGCGAGCCCCAGAGGTGGCTGACAGGTGAAAGAGTGCGAGCTGGAGCGCGTGGGTGTGACAACAGGAGAGGATTTACAGGACGAGGAGGGGCAGGTGGAAAGATAAACACTGTCGTATAGAAGGAAAACAATGGAGCAATAAATGTATAGAGGGCAGTGATAAATGGAGGAGAGAAGCGCTCTGAAAGGCAGAGAGAGAGAGAGAGAGAGAGAGAGAGAGAGAGAGAGAGAGAGAGAGAGAGAGAG